GAAAAAAAATGTAGTTGTTTATGTTAAAAACAAAAAGAAAGCACTGTTATGGAAAAAATAGCTCAAAGTGAATAGTGACTACAAGAGTATTTACTTCACTCTTACATAGTTATAGTTGAGATAATCACAAAATCACTTAGAGGGATTTTTAAAATTAGTTTTTTCTTGCAAACAGCTGCTACAAGATGAAACACTGACAAAGATTAAAAGTCAAAATTTTCATATAAACAATCAGGTCTGTTGCATAATAAAGGGCGCAAGACAAATGAAAGCCAGGGATAAAATGCAGAGATTTATTTCATGCCAATAAAGATAATTTGAGCCAAACTTAGAAAGCAAGAGAGGGTTAAGAGACAAAAAATGTGAATACAAAAGAAAGATTGAGAGAGATGGCAAGACAGGGGCACACACAGAAGAGAGAGCTGCTGGCGTAATAAAGCAGGCCATTCATCTTGCAGCATGATGGGACTTAATCAAGTTATGATTAATGTGTTACAGCTGCCATTATCTTTTCAATGAAGTCTGTATTCTTCTGTCCAAGCCCCCGAGGTACACAGGAACACACAAACACATGCAAACCACAGCAGATACGGGGGTTTGTCATGTGAGTCATGCACACACTGGAAAGCAGCATACACAGATGTCATGGTACACACTGTGAGTAACAGAAGGCTCCTCACGTGCATTCACACACACAGTTGTGTTTTCATATCTTTGTGGGGACATCTAATTGACATAACGCTTTCCATAGTCGCTTACCCCTAAGAAAAACCATCAAAAATGAATGCCTGACCCTGACCCAAACCTAACTGTAACTTTGACACTAAAACTACATTTTGAGTTTCCAAAAATTCCTTCAAACCTGTGGGGATGGGGATTTTGTCTTCATAAAGGCTGTTGGTCCCCACAAGTATAGTGAACTTTCAATTGTGGTCCCCACACAGATATGCAAACCTGGTATACACACGTGCACATACACAGACAGCAGAGACAACACACAGAAGTACCACACAAACATCCAACGATTTTCAGGTAGACACTGTGCATCATAAAAGATAAGAGTGCACACACAGACACAGAAGTGAGTGATAAGGTGTTGAATAAAAATGGCAGCAATTAATTGCATTTCTTTGTTAGGGTAATTTGATATGCTCCACAGGCTGGGCCCTTAATCAACACCTCAGAATTACTAATCAAAATATTCCTGTCAGACTTGTCTGATAGTTTACTAGTCTGTGTGCTTTCTGTTGTGCATCTCAGTAGCTGTGAGTCAGAATACTTTGTGAATGAATTTTAGTCAAAAAATAGTTTCCAATAATCTTTGTTATTTTTCCATGTGCCATTGTTGTGCTCTGATCTTTGGGGGTTTTTAAGGTATAAAACATTAACTCTGAGGTTTGGAGTCATGAGCCATAATTTTTAATGTAACCGATAAATGGTCATACTTTTGTTACATTATCCTCTAACCTGTTATTTTCTCATATAAGAAATAATAACACAAATATCTGTATTTAATAACCTATAGGTGTGAGCAGCTGTGTTGCAATAAATTTCATTTATTGCAACACAGCCACCCTTTCATTTAAGTATATTTTTAGGAAATGTTTTGTAGGAAATGTAGGAAATTCTTTTAATCTTCTAACAGCCAAAAAGGGGCCAAAACAACAAAATAACTTTAATATTTTTAAATATTGGGCATTGAAATGTGGATAAGTGTGGAGTTTTTAAATATAACCCTTTCAACCTCAGAAGGACTGGTCTTTGTTGTGTTTGTCATGTCACTGTTTTATGGCTTTAAAAATAGCAGAAAAGGTTGGAAACTTCCCATACTGTGGGTTTTCCTTAAACTGTTGGATGTTATAGAGAGAGATGGATAATGGCAGCCAATTCTCAAGTGTAAAAGAACTAGCTGTGGCACATCCATCTTTGTTAGATTCAATTTGTGGCTGTAAATGGCGGAACTTTGCAGAATTTTTTTTCCAAAATGCTTTTTTTCAGTTGAGGGGCATCAGACTGAGGCAACTGTAAAAGAGTCCTGCAGTTGTCAGACTCATTTCTGCCTTACCGCACAGGCATTTACCCAACACTGCTATTCACAATGACTTACAGTGAGTCCAAAACCAACACAAGCTTAACTTTTATGTAAGCCAACATTATGTTCATCCAAGATCAATCAGAATTAAGGTCAACATACAATAAATGATCAGAATCAGATTCAGAATACTTTAATAATCCCTAAGAAAACGTTGTAGTGTCAGTTGCTCCAAGACCATAAGAACAGTAACAGACTGGACTAAAATAAATAATACAATATATTACAAAGTTACAAAATTTAAGAAATGACTCTAATATATACAAAAAGCTCAATTATAAATATCCAGAATATTACAAATATATATGACATTTTACTCTAAACTGTAAAACTCTACTCATATATGTACGTAAATAGTAAGTAGCCATGAAGTAAAAATGAAAGGTGGAAAGAAAAATCTGAAGTTAAAGGCCTTATCCTGTCCTTGACCTAAACAAAAGCAGGACTTGGCAGCAAAGCTTACTGATTTATGTTTTGGGAACTAGCTTCCTAAAATGAGACTAGAGAAAGAGATTAAAGTCTCCAAACCAAGAGTAACAAGTATGCACACAGACACAAATGCACACATAGAAGCACACATGAATTCTTGCACATTGCAGTTGGTTGTCCCTTCTGGCACACTGTCTCTTTCTTCTTATCATTTAGAGCAATTCACACCCCTCAGTGTATGTACGTGCAACTGTGTGTAAGTATTGTGTTCAAGGGTCTAGTGCATGTGTCTGTGTGTAACTGCGTGTTTCTGCTTTTATGTGTAACGCATTGTGTGAATTGGTGAGTTCGACTGTTTGACAGCTTCACTCCCAGATGAGATGTCTGACACCTCTTCTCTGTCTGTGTACCTCCATGAAGACATGTGAAAGCCTGCCTCATCCTGAAAACCCCACTGATACACTCACACTCTTGTTACTAGGTAGATTTTAATGAGTCAACTGTCTTTGTACACAAGTAGTCCTGTCTGCGCTTTCCTGTACAGACAGGATCCTCATTGCTCAGTATCTTTTGACCCCACAGTTTATAATTTGATTAACAACCTTTTACACCGATAACCATTCACTTCACTCCAACTCATTGGATTTGAAATGCAGTGTACTCAAGCTGTTCGGAAACACAGTTTTTATTTTTCAAAAAAAAAACTGCAGTCCATAATAAAATATTTGTGATCAGTGATCAGATTTAGTCCATCAGTTATTCAAATATTCCATTGGCAGAATTTCTTAATTCACAACACAATCATTAAACAGTTTTGATTAATTAAAATCTAAAGCATTGAGGACATTGCTTTATAATAGACTAACAGATAGTAAACTAATTCACCTTGAGATTAATAAATCCAGAAGAAATCACATCTTCTGAGCAAGTGTCAATACAGTCAACTGATCTTAGTTGAACTTAAGGGTTGAAAGTAAAGATGTGTTCATCACAATCAAAGAACAGGATGGATACCAAATGTCTGGAAGAAGAGATCATTTACTGTAAAATATCCTTAAATGATAAATACACAAAATGCGCGTCTTGCTGAACTTTGAATCAAATCATTAACACAGATAAAAGTTTCTCCCTTACTAGAGACAGTTGGTCCATTGACATTGAATTGGTAATTGACTTTGTAAGCTAATAAAATTTTATGTTTGAGGCTTTTCATTCCAGTGAGTTTGATTTGGATGTAGCGTTCCCAGCAGTGAGCCAGAAAATCTGCCCATAGCCCAAGAAAATCTCAGTGGCTGCTGTCTTTTTTTTAATCTCAGCAGTTGTTCCATTATTCACTGACTACAGGGTGCTTCAAGATGTATCTCTACATGACATTATTACAGCTTGTCTGTCTCCCATTCATCTTAGGATGACACTGGGTTCATTTTACAAATTACCGCTGAGCTGCACAATAATATGGCAATACCTAAAAGTCGTAGGTTGTCGTTAAACTTTCAATATGCGAAGTTGATGTTGAACTGCTAATTAAGACACATTTCTCAGGAAATCACATTACGTATGACGTTATGTCCTCATTTTCATGTGATAAAATATCAATATCCGCTGGACGAGACTATATCTATGTTAAAAGAATAATTCTTTTAAAATAAGAATTCTTTTAACATAGACTGGTATTGCTGCATGTCAGCAAAATATTTCATTCTTTCACACTATAAGAAATATTGTGAAATATCCTATCATACCTAATAGTTGCAAATGTCCTCCATTTATCAAGTTTTCCAGATCAAACAGTGTTTCTCACACTGCCTCAAAGGGAGAAAAAAGCCTATAATTAAATTTCAGGTAATTGAATATTTTTACCTTCTGAGACATTTGAAACTTTTGGACTCAAGAAATTTAATTAAATCATGAGAAGCTGAACTGTAATTTAGTGTAATTTAATATACCTCTCTTTACTTCTGATTCTGATTCCATAGTTCTTTTTACTCCCTCCCTTTAATATTTAGAGTCACTGAACCCGAGATGTGCTATTTAGTCATTACATTGCACATCGGCCTTTTTGCTTATGTCTATCTCAATTTGTGTTTTTCAACTGGTACTCTGTATTCGAGTGCTAACTGCTCTTTTGGGGATTATTAGAAATGGACTCAATGATTGTGTGGATTCATTTTCTGGAAAGTTGACTTTCTTTACAACCTAAGACATTTTAGTGAGATTGACAATTAGATGGTAATGTCAGAAAACAATGAACATTTTTATTTTATTGTAATATTGTAATATAATTACTATAAATACATTTCATACTTCTAAAATAGTTTATAATCTCTGCTGTAATACCTATACTTTATTAATACTTTTGTCACATACATATGTTTGTGAACCAGTTATTTGAATATAATTTTATGTACATTCTTCAGATATGAGTACATATTTGTGTTGTAATGTATTATTATACTTTATGTACTTGGTGTCTTTTCAGTTCCTGGATCAGTGCCTATGGAATCTCTGCAGAATACGCCATATGAAGAAAAGATCTTCATGCAGTGGAAAGCTCCCAACGAGACCAATGGAATCATCAAATTGTATGAGGTCAGTGAAAGACTTCAAAGAACATCAATGGGAGTTATAAAAATGAGCAGATGCACGGGTAGATAGATTGAAGGAAGGACGAAAGCAAGGGAGGGAGGAAGGAAACATCCAGTTGCTTACAAAACATCAAACACAAAAAATAACAAATACAGATGTAATTGGGCACACCACAGTAATATTGTAACAGAATTATGGAAAGGTGAAAAACTTGTAGTGATGTAACAGTTTCAAATTATTCTAACCACTGTGCATAGTGTATACTGAAGTACAAGGTACTGCACAAAAGTACCCCAAAAGAAGAGTAAATGTGTAGGGATCAGTGGCTTAGTGCTGGTTTGCAGAGTCCTGCTGAAATACCACTATATGTCTTTCCCTGTCTCCTATATTAAGATGCTTTAATGATTAAACGTATGAAACACAGCAATTAGTAAAAAAGCAATTCTTTTTTTTAATGCATGACAACATTTTCTAGAGTATCGGATCTTTACAAAAATCATGCAGGCACGTTCTGAGTCTGTGGTTGTGCTTTTGTGTTTTATAGTGACAGAGGGGTGCATGATTGTGCATTAGGCAAACTTGTCAGTACGTATTTGTTCATTTGCCTTTAAACTTATATGAACTTCAGTGACACTCCAGTCTAAATACAAAGGGTTTAATGTGATATCAGCCCACCTTTTGCAGCTATAGAAGCTTCAACCTTTCTGGGGAGGCTTTCCACAAAGTTAAGGAGTATGTTTATGGAAATTTTTGACCATTCTTCCAGAAGCGCATTTGTGAGGTCAGACACTGATGTCGGACAAGATGGCCTGGCTCACAGTCTCTGCTCTGTTGGGTTGAGGTCAGGACTCTGTGCAGTGCCCTCTCCACCAAATTTTATACTTGTCACAATACAGTCAAACAAGTACCATTCTCCTGGCATTTAGTTCCACTTTGTCGTAATCCCAGCAGTTTATGTAGTTTTGAAAATCAAGCGTCTAAAGCCTAGGTGCCTGTTATTGTTTTATAAACACGCTGGAGCCTTAAATGTCAGGATACTGATAAATGAAATGACTTAAATGTAAGATACCTAAATTATATACATATAAAGAAAAATCAATCCTCATTATGCTTTCTAAGATGTTTGTTAAATTTGCCAAATTCAGCCTGTAGCACATTGACGCTTGCTAACAGGCACAACATTCAAGAGCTTTTACTCCCTAAATGGATATCTTTCTGGAATTAAACCACTGAATTGTGACTACTGTAAAGCAGAGGGTTGCAAGCATGATCCCAGTTTGAGTCTGATCTTGTGTCTCATTTCACCTTGGCTGACCTTTTTTGCAGCTTTCTCTCTTACTATAGCTACAGAAACAATATTTGACTTGTTTGTTTCGGACCGAGATAGATAGAGAATGTGGTTTAAGGAAAGAGAGGAACTCTTTAAAACACATTAATTTGTAAAACTAATTAGATGCATGATGTTTAACGATATGAAATAAGACAAGTTAAGATGAACTGAGAATGAAATATATAATATATATATATATATATAATATAAAAAATGATGTTCAGATTAATGTGGTGTTTAACTGAGGCACTCTTCACAATGCAGCTACAGCTGATTCAGATTTGTCACTCGTGGCATCCCATTTCTATCTGTCTGAGACTGGCTTGTTGTGATGGGTTTATTTCAGTGCTTGTTTTGTGTTGTGTTGTATATACTAATTCCACCAAAAGGAAAGTATAAACACTTGGGCAATAAGCCCCATCTCATACTGCATCTCAGAGTTTGTGGATGGGGTTGAAGTCCCTAAACGAGGGCTTGAAACCAGTCTAGAAAATGTTGTTTTCTGTAGCATTACGATTCTCTTCATTTGTACTAAGGGGCTATCCCAAACCAAGGAACACCGCCCCAAAGGAGGCTGTCATTATGCTTTTGGACCCACGTGCATACAGTGTATACTGTATGTACGTTTGTACATAAGAATGTATATTATCCATTAAACCGTTGTCTTCAGCTGGATTGGGCTGGAGTATATACCAGCTAAGATGGGGCGAGAAAAGCGATATACCCTAGATAGGTTACTTATCACAGGGCTAACACAAACAACCATTCACAACCCACATTCACACATTTTGGCTTCTGGACTTTTGTAGCCAATTTCAAATCACCAGTTTAACTAATATTAATGTCTTTGGACTGTGGGAGGAAGCTGGTGTACCTGGAACGTTCTAACTCCGCAAATGGATTCAAAACCAGGACTTTATTGCTACAAGGCAATGGTACTAACCATCACACCTGTGCCTTGTGCATTCTTCTGCTCCCAAGTGCCATATAGGAGAAAAAAATGCAATAATTAAAAAAAACCTTTTTAGCCGGATGTCTTGTTTGTTTTTCATTCATATGGTCTTATTTTTAAAACTAGGTGATACAGGGAAACACAAGAACAGTGTTTTCTCTCTAACCACTGACAGTTCATATTTATATCAAATATAGTTTCATCCACGAATAATTGACATATATGACCATAAATTCAGGATTAAATGTAAATTATCATAAAGGGAAAGTAGAAAGTCTAAGTCGCAAGACAAAGTGGGAGAAAGACTTATTCTTTGACAGTCTTTTATACAGTGGTTGGAACTGAGTGAGATAGGTGTGCGTGCGTGTGTGTGTGTGTGTGTGTGTGTACGTTTATTTGGGTTGAAGTTGAGTCCTCTATCTAATGAATTATTGACCCGTTCTTGGTCTGTTGTCTGCCTCTTATATCACTGCATCAAGGAGCTACCTCACATCAAGACCTGGAAGGGCGCTTGTGTGCGCGTCTGAAAGAGGGAGAGAATGAGCTACCAAGGAAAGAGATGTTGCTTTAAAAAAGACCAACTAGTCTCCACATGTGTGTATTAAGTGTATGAGGACTTTAAAGTGTATAATCCATAAACTGTAAATAAAGGATAGATGTAACGACTGTTACATAGCCCGCCAATTAGTGAAGGTCCACATTTAAATGACTGATCCACGTGTGTTCAGACCGTCAGTCTTTTAAAAATATATATTTAGAAGAGATGTGGGATAATACTGACTGAGAAACTGAGAAAAGTATAGCCTGACTTATTGTCTCCTTAACTATAATTAATAACGACTATAAATCCATCAGAAAAGGTAGTTATTTCATCCATAAATCTAGTAACCAGGAGCTTTGTTCTGCCACAGACAACAACACTGGCTTTTGTCTTTATAACCTATACAGAATTTATTTTCACAGATAGTTACAATTTTTTTTCACTAAAAAAGGTAGAATATTTGCTGTGCAAGTTAGAAAGTCATCTTTCAAGCTGCATCCAGAACAGCTTAATTTTTGTAGTTAGTTGTAAAATCTGTAAATATTAAGCACACACTAAACAGATGTTACAGTTATAAAGCTGGGTTGCTGTAGGTTAGATTAGTAACTAACGTATTGTATATTTTAGCTGTAGATTATTCCTCTTGTCTTGCAGATTTACACATCTTGTAACACAGAAGGCAAATCTTATTTTGAGAGCATCTTCCAAAGATATAATTATCCCTATTTTCTCTCAAACCCCTTATATTTACTACCATCAATCTCCAGTCTCTTCTCTCATTCTACACCTCTAAAAGACCCCTTAGTACCATGTCTGACACTTCCATTAGACCTCAACCCAGAGCCTGAAAAAACAAAACAAAACAAAAATGTCCTCAGTCTATGAACCTCCTTGGGACCATCATCAGTTTCACCTTGTTTGATATTAATGAAATCAACACCAATCTAAGCTCTCTGCCCTCTCTGCCTGGTAGAGGCGGCACGATTCAGCATCATCTGTTAAACATATCAGAGCCTCAACATAATGCGCTGCTATTAGAGATAATTACTATAATTGCAGCTATTGACAGGATTAAAGGCATCATCTGCAACATCTAAAGGGCCTCTTGTTGTGTCCTATTCTGTTCTGTTGTCTCTTGTGTGTTCCTTTTTTCCCCTCTGCGTCCTTTTCAGGATAGAAACCAGATGAATTACACCTAGGACAAAGAGGGGATTGAGGAGTATGGAGAAAAACTGGGGGGTGGGCTCAGGGTAGCTTTGTGGAGGTGGGAAATGGTGCAGAGAGATAAGGAGAATGGGAAGAAGGAAGGCAGAAGTGTGAGAGAGAGATAAAGCATTCAGTGAGCAAGTTGAAATCTGACCAGAAGACATAGTTCTTACCATACAGCAAGATTACAGAAATTAATCAGTGTGCAAATATGATCACTCCATCTCTTGTATCTATTACCGTAATTGCAGCTAATTACAGGATTAAAGGACACATCTGGGTAAGATCTAAAGGGATCCCCCACTCCTCCCCCACTCTCTCTGGTGCTCCATTCATTTGAGAAAATGAGAATAATGTCTGGAGAAAAAGGGATGCAAAAAGAAGTGTAATGTTTGGTTGCAGGTGAGGTAGGAAAGGCAAAAATGAAACAGCATATAATTTATTAATATATATTGCTCAAAAAAAGAGAAGATGACATACAATCAAGTGAAAAAAAAGTTTTTACAGGATTAATTCAAAAACCCTTAAAAAACTCTGTACACCCTGTGATTCAGTAGCTTATAGAACCATCTTCCTCTTTAGCAGCAATAACCAACTAAGAAGTAGTTGGTGTGAGGTACTTTTTAATAAAGGTTGTTGTTGTTGCTAATCATTTTATCAAATGCATTTGATTACCAGCAATTGGCTGCAATCATCATCAGTAAAGATGTACATAGTTTTTCACAGGACTACAAAAAGTCCTAATACAAGGTATTATCCTAATCTTCTTAGATTAGTATGGTGCATTTAATTAGCTCTTAATCTGACTATGGTGCTTGTATTAGCTGATATTTATCCCCAGTAAGAGTACAAATTTTCATCAGTCTTTCCAACCATCCCCATGCACTAAGCACAAGAAAAATCCAGTTAATTGCTTATATGTAACCTCCTTTTTTCTAAAATAAAAAAATCAATAAGCAATTTTTGAGCAAGTC